CTCCTTGGGTTTAAGAGGCAGTTTCTCTATGAAAATAGGTCACCCAATCTTCCTTCTGAGGAGTGGCTGGTGGATTTGAACCAGAAACCCGAAGAGGGGTCTCTATGAGTCGGATTCAAATCAACAGCAGTGAGTTTGGTTTTATAAGTTTCAAAAGAGCTTCTTTTCATATGATTCTAAGATAAACACAAACAGAATGAGAAATTCCCAGCAATGTACCCTCCCTATCATATCCCTGAGTCAACTGATCTGCTAAGCATGCTTGCTTCATGACTTAAGAACCTGAATTAATCCATTTGACTTTCTGGAGTATGAGACACTACCCGGAAAATCATTACCTGTGGTGTATCCCAGAAAATCATGAAAGAAAACAGCAGAAACCAAGTAAAAATCTAACAGCCAGCCCCAGGAACAGAACCCAAAGTGTGGATCAGGAGTGGTGCAGAGAAAATGAAACCAATCTTGGTGCTTTTTCAGGCCACAGAAAAGGCAGAGACAGGTAATGAGGAGTAGAGATAATCCCTCCAAAGGAAGCAAACCACAAAGGAGCAATTTTCTGTTTGCCATCTCATCCTTAGAGGGTGGTCCTGAGGCACTGGTTGCATTTGAAATTATTAGTCAGTGCTAAAACCACTCTGAGATACATTAGTATTTGCAATATCCTCTACATTGTTTGGGTCCCTGGGTGGTATAAATGGTTAATTGTTTCACTACTAACTGAAAGATCCACCTAGAGGTGTCTCAGAAGAAAGGCCTGCTTTCAAAAATTTACAGCCTTGAAAACCCTCTGGTTTTATTCTTCAACATATGGGGTCACCAGTGTCTAAATCCACTTGACAGCAACTGTTTTTCTGCATTGTAAGAACTTGAATGGAATCAAAACTACAATGAGATGTCATCTTGCCCCAGCAATAGTAGCAAAGTTCAACAAGACAGAAAGTAACAAATGTGGAGAAATTGGGATTCTCATACACTGCTGGTGGGACTGTCAAATGATACAACCACTGTGGAAAGCAGTATGGGGACTTTTTAAAAAGTTGGAATTAGAAATACCATTTGACCCAAAAATTCCATTACTAGGTATATATCCTAAAGAAGTGAGAGCCAGGACAAGAACAGATATATGCACACCCATGTTCATTGCAGCACTATTTACAATAGCAAAAAGATGGAAACAACCTATGTGGTGCCCATCAACAAAAGAATGGATATCCAAACTATGGCACAGACACACAACG